GACTGTGATGACTTTTTTTTTAAATTCACCAGAGATTTGATTGCTTGTCATCTGTAAAGGAAGACATATCATGTATTTTCTTTTGGCTGATCTACCTATCAATTAATGAAAACCGTTTACAACAACCTCAACTGCAGTATGAAGAAGGTAAATGACAAAGTCGTTTTACAATTCATTGAACCAGTTAAAAGCTCTAATTTTTCCATTGATTATTTATATTGTAAATAATAAGATAAATGATATGTTATCGACTTTGAAGTGTACCAAATTTAAAATAAATGGCAAAAACAAAATATGTTAAGTTTGGCAAAGCTGTGTTTTTCAAAACAGTTTCACATTGCAAATCACATATAGGTTAATAAGTGTCATATCAGTGACAACGCAAAAGTCATACGCATAAGTTGAAAAAAAATGTAAATAACTTAATTTAGGGTATAATCTGTAAAAATACTATAAAGGGTCATGATTAGATCTGTTGTTCTTACTATTGAATAGATTGAGACACCCAGCTGTTATTATTTGTCCTTTTGTGAAGTTGTTTTTGTCTGTGCGTGTGTATGTGGTATTGAACAAATTGAGACAGGCAGCTGTTATTAATTTCGAGATTTTTGTTATATTGTTTTTTATTTAGCGTGAATGACCTAGGGTGACAAGCTGAATAAGATAAACCAAACGAACCCAGAATAGGTCAATACAAACGATATTGCAACAAAAGTTTATTATTATAGATACAGAATGATAAAAATGAGATATGGAATTCAAAGGGAAAGGAACAAAAAAGTAATTTAGACAGCAGACAGTAATTTAGAGAGCGTAAATATTTGATAGGTTTTCCACTAAAATGGTTATATAGTATGTAATATTTGACATGTGTTTTAACGAAAAAAAAAAAAAACTGTTAGCCATTTTGTTTTCTTTAGGAAAGCCATTTTTCTTCTTAAGCGATCTTCAGGAATTTTTCTATTTTTATATATAAAAAAAGGTAAAACCTCACAACTTTTTTATCTCAATGTTATATAGAATTTGGTTTAAACATATTATATTCGTCAAATACACGTATAAAATTTACATGGTATGTACAATCAATTCAAAAAGTATTGGACTGAAAACAACCTATAATTCTTTAAGAAGTCTTTTCCCAATGCATAGTAAGTATTAGTACATGAACTTTAATAAAGCATAAAATATTGAACGTGTGCAAAGAAAATTTTGTAAATGGTTATTAAATGTTAAAATGTCAACAAATACTCTATCATTGTATTCTGAACTAGGTAGATTTCCTCTGTATATTGAAAGATATGTTAGGATAGCAAAATATTGGTTAAAGTTACACGGCGATAAGAGTCAAAACTGTATTTTAACAACTATTCTAAGTTCTCAAAGAAATGATATATCAAATAACTCAAATGTTGTCAACTGGTTATCAAAAGTTCGAGACATGTTACAAAACGCTGGATTTGCCGAAGTATGGTTATATCAAGAATCGGTAAATATTAAAATTTTTATACCAGTATTCAGATCACGTCTCAGGGATATATATGTAACCAAATGGCGAGCAGACATGGCGTTATGCTCTTCCTTGCAATTGTATTCAAATGTTAAAGTTAAATATGAAAGGTCTATTTATCTTAAATTATTAGAAAATGCAAAATACAGATCAGTTCTTGCAAAAATTAGATTAAGTTCCCATAAACTATATATTGAATCTGGAAGACACAGGGGTATTGAAAGAAGTCAGAGAAAATGCACATTATGTACGTCCGGGGATATAGAGGATGAATTTCATTTTATATTTATATGTCCAATTTATAATGATTTTAGAAGTATGTGCATTTTAAGATACTTTACTGTTAATCCTAGTGTTTATAAATTCATACAATTGTTAAACGCAGATAGAAAATTGGTTATTAGAAAATTTGCATTATTTTGTATTAAAGCATTTGAAAGACGAGACAATTTGGTAGATTAGCATATCAATATGATATTATTAATGTAGAAATTTATTTTTGGCATTCTCAATCAATATGTTAGCTATGTCATAATATTTGAATATAACTGATTGAATTTATTATGATATGATTCTTGATGCATGCATTGTAATAATTATACATGTATATGTATGTTATGATGATGGGTGTTGAGCCCAAGTCAGAAATAATGTATATGTTCTGTTCTGTTCATGAAAATGTAAGAAATATTGTCATTTGTTGACAAAAAAGACTGAACATTGTCTTTTATTTTACGGCATCGCTTGATAATAAGACACTGGGCCATGCTAGATACTTAAGTCTGAAATACCTAGTTCAAGAAAATTATAACTGATGAGTTCAGATACAGAGAAAAATAAGACAGAAATTAAAGCAAACGAAACAGAATAATGACCCGAAATCAAATCCTATTAAATATAGAAAATAGATATACAGAATAATGAGTAAAAAATAGTGTTATAGATTGACGCTTGTAAAGAAAACAACTATATAATTATTATCATATTGTGAGATCAGTTTAGTATCAAGAATCAGTCATTATAATGCCTTTGTATTATTCAATTATAAATATCTTTTTTTATTTAACTTGGATTATTTTTGTAGCCTTACAAATAATGTGAGCTTCTTTGTATAGAGTAAATTGTCACTTTTTTGTCATACATTTATTATACTTCTTATGACGACCTTAATGGATGGGTAACTTTATATGAAAAATGATAAGAAATATTGTACAATTTCAGGTTTAATATGAGATAAGTGAGTTTATTAAGTCATTAAAATAAAAAGGTGTCTGATGGAATCTTAAACGTAATACCTCTAATGCCGGCTCGCCACGGCGAGCCGGTATTACGGTAGGATTTTACTGAGAAACAACCTAAAACTCCGAAGCTATCCAAAAATTTAATCGAAGCTTGGCTTCCAGCTTTCTACAAAATTTATCTATCAGGGCTAGGACCCAAAATTATTTAGCCAATCAAATTTAATCTTACATAGCGTCAAAAAACCTTCAATTTTCACGCCATTTTTAAAAATCAGCAAGTATTGTTTTGAGCGCAAAGATATAATGATGATTAAAATGTTTGTCTTTATGAATTCTTTTCAATAAATCATATTTACACTGACTTCTGCTTTAGCGATTTCACCTGTTTTCTCTGTAGTAAGTTTTCGTTTGGTTAATTAACATAAGTGTACATCTGGTTCTGGGCATTTTTCCTTTTTCCTTTTTTCCGGTCATTTTATCCTTTCCGGTATTTAGTGTATGTATTTACTGGCCGGGATCCGGGACGCCCGGGATCCGGGATCGTATAAGATATGGAGGAAAAACCTAATGAACTATATTTGTGTTGATTGTTGTCGTAATGAAAGGCCATTAAACGTTATTTTTTTATTGTATATAATGAACGTTAAATTAATTTAACTTAGAATATAGATATATTTAGAGCTATTTATTTACAAACTTAAAATGCGGAAATCACAATACTTATAATTATATGCCTAATTAATTGGAAAAATGAAAGACTATTTTCTTGAATTGGTCAAATCCCGGGATCCCAATATGTTTTAAAACGATCCCAGCTTTTCTGAAAACTATATACTTGAACTGGCCAATCCGTGAGATCTATTTACATTTTAATACGATCCCGGCTTTTCTGAAAACTATATTCTTGAACTGGTCAATTCCCGGGATCCCTATATGTTTTAATAGGATCCCGGCTTATCTGAAAAACATCTTCTTAGACTGGTCAATTTCCGGGATCCCTATATTTTTTAATAGGATCCCGGCTTTTCTGGCCGAATTGATTGACAACTTGTGTTTACTTTAGGACTTGTGCCTCTCATTCCAATACTAAATAACATACATGTATTACAACTTAATTTTGTATAAAGAGACATCTTTATGAAATCTACCTATCTAACATTTTGTGGTCAAGGTCAACAGGCCATATAGTAAATGTGCATAGACATAGGTTCTTCATTCAATCTGTTTACATGCACCTTCATATATACTCATACTCATCTTGGTTAAACTGAGAGAACTTTATATGTCACTTTCAGTCAATGAGTTTAAGATTTTGAATTTACTGGCCCGAATTCCAGTTTTGAATTTATTCTACTAAATAATTAACAAAATTTTCTTAAATTTACACTGGCCTGAACTTATATACACTGGCCATCGGGCACCGGGCCAGTGTTGACTTCACTTTTATTTTGATGTTCGCTGAAGTCGCTTCAGCTAACAGAACTGTCATTTTTACATTTAAACACACCCCTTGAAAAAAATTACGAAGCGAGTCGCTACTAGCTTTTTTAAAAGCTAACCTTGTTATTTATTTATAAAGAAACGCAAATACACCTAAATAACCCAAGTTCTATTTACAAAATAAGATGTATTGTGTTTCAATAATTTTCTTTATGTATTTCTACTAATCTTAATGAATCGGTTTGTTATTATATGTATTAATTGAAGGTAAACAAATGAAGTCAACACAATATCTACTATTATTACCAAACATCAGCAATTTTGACCTTTAAAATCATTATTTAGTTCAAGTTTCAAAAATTATAATGATATGTGCGTTTTGAATGTCCTTCACTTAAGAGTATTCTGAATTGGTCATTTCAAAGGGCATGGTGACATTTTTTTGGCATCACTAGATTATGTTCAATACCACTACATATAAATCATAAGGTCCTGATTTTCAAACATAACACCTCTGATATATTCATATTTTGATATGTATTTTATTCATTCTGAGTGTGTTAATATATCTGACATAGTAGGCATGTTAATATATAAAAGTTCTTGCTACAATTTGAAATAGTTTACTACATTTATGTAAGATGTATGCACATATTATTTCAAAAACCCGGCATGACAAAACTAAATCAGCGACTATTACTAGGCTTCACAATCTTGACAAATATATTAAAATATGAGAAAATAATCAATATAGAGATACAGGAAGATATGTTAAGCACCGTCTGGTAATCTAAGTAAGATTGGTTTGATGGATGGGTAATTTATCTAATAGTTTACCTAATTTACCTTATATTGTACAATCATATAAAAAGGCAACTTATGAAAATAAAGCTTTAGAAGGTGTTGTTAAAGTGGTGGAGATGGAAAGGTATTTCATACGTGACGGTAAGCATAATTACATTTTTGTAGACTGACTTCCCTTAAGTCTATATACGAAATTGACGGTATGCTTAACTACTTTTTGCGTATGACGCTGTCTCGGTTTTCAATATCTTTACTTTCATTATAGTGTTTGACAGTGTTTATGTATTTTTGGACAAAAGTTTACCACAGAAATGTTATTAAAATGCGTCACTTTGCAAATATAAGTTGTCAAGGTAAATTCTGGTTCTGCAATGATAGCAATCGCCAAATGTAATTGCATTTCTACAAGAAATAAAAAATAGAATAATTATCAAAAATACCAAATTGGATAAATATTTGCAAATGCTGAAATTTATGGTAATTAACGTTTTTGTTTAGTGCGTAAAATACTAGGCCGGCTGAGAAATTTAAATGAAGCCTCAAATTATGATATGAAATTTTACAGAAAAAATGATTACATTAGTTTATATTCAAAATAAAAATAAACATGTAAAAGCAAAACTTATAGAGATACAAGAAAGATGATATTATACTATTTACTGTCATTTATTACATGCTTTTCGATGGTTTATAGAAATATATCAGTGAATTAAAACTGATAATTTCACTGTTTGCGCCACTCGTGAAATATACCTTTTGGTGCTCACTCGGTGAAATATATTCCGATCTTACACTGTACAAACTTAACAAATATCCTCTATATCATAATTCATGTTTGAAAGAAGTTGTTATATGGGCACCCTATTACCAATCGATTATCGAGCTAAAGTTGCATATAAAACATACTTCAAATTAGATTGTTTCTGTATTTCATTTGTTCTTCTTTTGTGGAATGAACACATTTACATTTTACAAAACGCATTAACGTTCAACTACTTTCTAATTACAATGTTACTGAAATGCAGACATATTTTACCAAATACATTAACATTCAACTACTTTCTAATTACCATGTTTCTGGAATGCAGACATTTTTTACGAAATACATTAACATTCAACTACTTTCTAATTAGCATGATATTGAAATTCGGACAATTAAGTAAAATGATGTTCTGTCTATAAAACATTTATATAACATTTTTAACAAAGACGGAAACATATGTTTGACATTATACTTTACATACTAAAGAAACAACATCATTGATGTCTATTATACGGAACAGCTGCTAAATAAATAATATACTTTGAAAAAATATTATCTTTAACAAGTTAATTAACACTTAGCGTGCTGGTGGTAACATACTCTACACATGCGACTAGTGCAAACCAAAATCAGTCAGTACTGCCATACTATGCCTTCTGATCATTGTCTGCACTGTACGCCAGTAAATATTTTAAAAAAAATCCCCGAAATGGTAAAAAGTTGTGTCCATAATGAAGAGTGTACAATTTCAATTGAAGAGTTTTTAATATTTTTCATGATATTTGTGTCGCCTGCTACAGAGTTCTACTTGTAAAGAAATACTAATGCAATTTTGTCCAAACTTTACAGTAATAATCAGTACCAAGTCTAGTTTTGCATATTGTTGGCATTTTTCAGTTAAATAAATTTTGTTAGAGTTATGGCCCTTCAATATATAAGTTTGTCCGAACAACTGCTCCTATACTACAAATGCAATTCGAATGAAATGTTACAGGATTGATAAGTATCTAAAGTTCTTGAGCATTTTTTTTTTCCGGTTGAATGATTTTTGATTGCTGCTCTTAAATAAAAAGGCGTTATGGTCCGTTTATGATTTTTCGGTAATTCTTACTTTCTCTATACAACAGATGTCACTCAAATTTCAATGCAGTCGATTTACATTTCCAACAAACTGTTGAATCACAACTTAATACAACTTCTTAATCGGATAGCATCAGGCGACACATTACTGGTGTCATTTATTCAGAAATACGTGAAAAAGGGGACCATTCGACACATGAACAAAATACATAGAATGATTTCATTTATGGTGATAAGGTTGAATCTCTTTAAAACTATACATTTGTGCAAAGCAATAAATTCTGGCTAAGAATATTGCACACGAAACAAAATACATGTATTGTTATTGAATACGATTTACTCAAATCCGATCTAGACATGTACCCTAGTATAATAGATTGGTGTTCATTATTGAAAGATTAATTATGTTCACTTGGATTGGTCGATGCTTTGATTCACCAAGGCGTAGTAAATGTTGATATGTTTCTATCTATAACAAAGCAAAGGTTTATATAATGATCATTTTATTCAAAACTGGAACGCAAGACTTTATCAAGTCAGTAGGCGGTCCCCTAGTAGGACTTTATTTTTTTTTATTTTATATACAATATCATCTCTTAGATTTCAGCCATACTTAGAATGTTTTAATATTCACAAAATTTTGTCAAACGCTTTCCCGTTTGCGTGTTTTTTCTCATAGATTACAGATAGAAGCTGGCATATGGTCTAAGTCATAGAGGACCCCTTTAAATGAAAGAATGTGTGTAAGATGTGGTAAAATCGAAGAAGAATTTCATTTTCAATTAGAATGTATGTTATTTACCGATAAAAGGAAAAGTATATTGATATACGTTTTTGGACAATACCTAGTATGTTCAAATTGGTTGATCTTGTAAATTCAGAAAATAAAGTCTTAAAGAAAATTGAAATATACATGTATATATACAATGCTTTTAATATTCGAAATTCGGTCCTATACATGCCAATTAAAAGTATTCAAGAAACATTGATAATTATGTAATATATATCATGCACTGTATTGTAATAAGCATCTTAATAAGAAATGTATTGATATTATTTGCATTTTTATCTTTTATTTTACATGTATCTTGTAAGAAATGTGTTAGTAATGTCTCATACACATGTCAAAATAGTAATTAACAAATAAGTTATATTATCATGTATGTTCGACTGCCATACAATCTGTCTCACAGTTTCGTTTCGGTTAGACTGGTTTAATTAATATGGGATTATTATTATAAAAGAAATTTGTGTAATTTAATACAGGTCTCTTGCCTCAATAGTGAGGTAAGATATGTAGGTAAACTGAATTAGTATAATGATTTATGTAATGAACATTAATTATGTTTGTTGTGACACTACTTCATAGTTTATTATTGGCAAACTATATACTAGTAATTTTGATCTGGGTAGCTGAACATCACGAACATTTAATTCATACAGTCCATTTAACAAACATAAAGTACGTGAGTGTAAGACAACCAAAAATCTATATTGCATTGTTCTACGTTCTTACGGATAACTTGTTATTATGACCTTCTCCTGTAAAGTCATAATTATATTGTGATAATATACACTGTTTGTTATCTTGTAGATATGCTGTGTTTTAATATCATCATTGGGCTTATAGCCTTACTTGATTGGAAAAATGTCTTTCTGTATGTCTGTCATGAATTTTGAAAGTTTCGAATTCTGCCAGAAGGTTGTGTGATTGCTCTAGGCATTATGTTAGTTTATCTGGGTTCTCTTACTCGACACAATTTGTGATCGTTTTCTACTTCACTGAAGCAACTAAGGGCTTTATATTGTCTATAACAAGAAAACATGCCTGTCTGTTGTCACTTTTGAAGGTGACGAAATTTAAAATAATTTGTAACATTATCACACTTTCTTTTGACAAAGCGATGAATCATAAAAAGTTGTTCGGTGCAAAGCAATTTTTAAAAAGTGTTAAATTAATGCTCGAAAGCAACGATAAATAAATCATTGCGGGTAATTTAAAGATAAATAACTTGGTTAACTTGGGTATATGTCAGTTTATTGCATTGTCGATGAATCAGCTGAATAAATACAACATACTATTTTACATGCATTAGGAAGGTAGTTTATTTGTTATTTTTAAAGCTTTTACGTGCAAACATAATAAAACACACAATCATATTATTAAACATTTTCAGATTTATATGCGTGTCAGTTAAGTTTGTAGGTACATACATAACACTTATAATATACATCACAATGAGTTCATGTTAAAACTCTTATCTTGCTACTATATTACATGTTAAAATATTTTTTTATTTGATTATGCATATTTACGTTTTGAAAGCGTTTAATGCCTCAAAAACGCATCATTACATGATTTGTGACGTGAATGTTATGATTACTTGTAACTAAAAAGCTTTAGCGGAATACAACCAGTTTTGAAACAAATGTTAGTTTGATATTATCTTTCAGCACATTATCCAGTATAGACACAAACCCACTAGCTTCATTGTGCTTTGAGTTTCTAAATAGCTTCGTAGGAACAAGGTTCTGCTACTAAACCATTTCCCATATATTTATCAACCATACGTTTTTTAATTACAAATAACAGACAAAATATATAAATATAGCAGCAAGCATTTAACTGAACATAAGACTGATGTTCATGTGCATTCTTTAAGGACTCTGTGTTTTTTATATATCTTAGAAGAAACTTTATTTGTCAATATTAAGTGGTTGTGATCCTAACTTGACTTATTGCATCAGTGATTTTAATTTTCAAACTTATTCAAATCATCGTTATTAACTAAGCAATTATCAACCACAGAATTACATGTGCAGCTAAATACTTCAAAACATCAAATTTTGCTGTCTAATTTCACCGATTTAACGAACAAATGTTACTAATTAGCAGAAACCCAATTAATAAAATAAAATCTAAATCATCCTTGAGGGCATGAACTCCTAAAATCTCCCAGCGACTGCTGAAATCCCAAAACGATTTTTAATGACTTAACAGTTCATACATTAGCGATAACATAGAAATTAAAGAAAGACATAAATAATAAAGTTGTTAAGCTAAAGAACAGCAGTTATTAGATTCTTGTTGCATGAATCTTAAAGAAAATTAGGACTATAAATAAGGAAAAATTGTAGTTCGGTATACACTAGACATCATTATTTGTGCAATTTTTCATTGGCGACATATAAGTTGTAATTTTCCACCGTTTAGTTTGTGAAAATGGTATATATCTCAAATCTTTCTAAACATATATCATCCAGTAATTGCATGATTGCCATATAAACGCAATAAGTAAGTAAGAAATTTCAAGATAGAAAATAGAGGTTTTGAATGATATTATTTGTAGTTTTATAGGTAATAAAAAAGAAACATTAAAAATGTTTATGACTTTAAACATAATAAACTTAAAAAACAAATGTCCTTTGTTATTTAAGTTAGATATATAAAATACAATAATTATCATTGTTGATATTTCTTACATTTGTATATAATAATATCATTATGTATAGTTTATTTTCATTGTTTAACCCCGGTAATCAATGGTTTTGTTTTTTCTCTAGAGAAGCCAGTAAAATGTAATTAACGTTCCTTAATATCATCAATATTTATGCAAATCAATATAGAATGTATTTCTACTTTCGTCACAAGCAAATAAATTCAAATGAAACTTATTGGACTATTTTCAGGCAATTCTGCAATGTTTTTCCTTGTTTTGTTGACCAGCGCATTACTGTTGCCAGGCGATGTGCATGCTGAATGTCCCCATACACGCTCTGGTTTGTTGCGGTGGTCAGACAGTGCCACCTGGGGGTCAAATGGAAAGGTCAGTTTATATATTTTATACTACATTTTTATCATTTAGACACTTTGAGAGCTCTTTTTATTCAGATCACAGTCAAAAAATAGAAATGGACTACATTTACCAGATGAGGTTTCTAATAAGTTTTTTTTTCGATATAGTAAGTATACAAATGATGTGATGAAATATTTGTACCTTAGTTTTAAACTTGTTTTTATCATGTTTATTGCATATTTTCGAGGTTGGAATTAAAAACCATTTTATTTGTTGATGGCTGAAAACGGCTTATCTAACTTTTTTATATACAGAACTATGCTTACATTTTCTAATCATTACAACATCATACATTTGTTTATTTTAAGATAGAAGGGCTATCAATAGATCGTATACTACTAGTACATTGTATTTTATAAGTTACTTCCCTTCTATAATACTTGTTCAGAAAGCAGTATGTTCATGGCTCACGCCATGACTGTTGTACTGCCACGATTCCCAGACACCTATGCTTACCTTTATAATTATGACAGTTATGAAATAATTATATAAACAAAGCAGTCTGAAGGACAGCTTAATCCCCTTCCACAGTGAACATGAATGTGTACTTCTTGACCTTTTACCAACCATGACATTGATGTTGTGCCATGCATATCATAAACACATAGTCTCACGATGGTGATTATTTGTGCCAAGTTATTTAAAATATTTCATAAAGTCAAAAAGTTATGGTAAAACATATAACCTTGACCTTGGGGGTAGAAACCTGGATGTTGAGCTCTGCAGATTTTGTCATGGTGGGGGATCATTTGTGCCAAGTAATTTAAAAACCTTTGAATTGTCAGTAAGTTATAGAGCGGACATGAAAAATAGATGTTTTTTCATTGGACCCTGACCTTCAGGGTTGTGACTTGATTATTATGCTCTGCCAATGGTGTCATAATGGTGATCATTTCTGCCAAGTTATCTTAAGAACAATGCAGCGGCTTAAATGTTATGAACGGACACGAATTGTAAACTTTCTAACATTTGACCTGTAAGTGTAACCTTGACTTTAGAGATAGCAATTCAATTATTGCGCTCTGCACATCGTCGTATAATGGTGATCACTTGTGCCAAGTTATTTCAAATTTTTTCAGCGGTTTAAAAGTTATGGTGCGGACACGAATGTCATACGGACGGACAGACGGACGGACGACAAACGGACTGACAGACTGAGGCCATTCCAATAATCCCCTTACACTACGCAGAAGGGGATTAAAAATAGATAATTATATTGATACAATGAATAATTAAAACATAAATGTATCGGTTTTTACGCTTTGTATTTGTTTGTCTGTTTTGTCGTTGTTTTTTTTTCTAGCCAGCAGAGGGTGAAAATGTAAACATATCGCAGAATATATTGATCGACGAATCGCCGCCATCTTTGAAAAACATCACAATACAGGCAAACTACAGTTTGATTTTTGATCCGGAAGTAGAAATTGAGGTGCGCGCAATGAATATTTTTGTGTATGGAAACATGGAGATAGGGAGTGAGGACTGTCCGTACAATAAATCACTTACCATTACACTGACTGGTATATTATCTATCTTTTTTATTGTACACAAAAAAACCCGCATCACAAACATATATTTTGCCGTCATATACCTATAACCATGTAGGTAAATCCGTATTTCCGTAGAGATACCTGTTATTTTCGATATTCCAATCACTTATTACTACAAAATGAGCTATTCACACAAAAGTATCGAATAATTAAACGAATGTAATGATGTTCTAAATAAGAATAACTCAAACTGTTTACTTTTGTTAATAACGTTCACCGTTTAGGCCAAATGTCTTAAAAGCGAGAAAATTGGATTGACGCCTAAAAAATTTCTCCAATACTCGCAAATAAAACAAATTAAAGGATATTTCTTCGATTAAAATAGTAACTCTTCCCATCCAGCACAATTCCGTCATAATTTATATGTTCGAATGTTATTTTTTATTTCTAACCAAGTAAATATAATGTCTATAGGAAACCGGGGAGAACACAACCACGCTAGCAACCCTAAGGTGATTCTCGTAAAAAATGGAGGCACACTGGAAATACACGGTGAACCTCGCTTGTCATGGACTGTATTAAACGAAACCCTACAAGCAACCAAAAACACAGATGATGTTTACTTTGAACATCAGGTAATGTATTTGTTGCTATAATTTATTTTTTCATTCGTTGTTCCTAATTCATATTATTTATTTATTTAAAATTGGGTTGCAAAATAAATAATGCACTTGGTTTCTAATCATTACATGTACTCACTTGAGGAAATATTTGAATAGGTAATGTAGTGAAGAATAAAATAGATTTTGCCTTTAAGTGATCCAAGATCCAAATATATGATTATAAAGGACTTTATGTGCAAAATTTAAACAAAGTTCAAGATAATTAAACTAAGTCAACACTCGCAGCTTTTCGGTCATTTCCGCCAAGCTTTGGAATATAATAATCGGCTAGTTGTTTTGATTCACTTAACAATGCTTTAATATATTTTATTGATATTATCTTCATGATTAAGATTTTTACTTCGAACACAAAAATGCAAAATAGTAACACTGCCTTTATGGATGTGCAACAATCAATAATCAACAATCGGACTTGTTCAAAATAAATGTGCACAGCTTTTGTTTCCTGCATTCCTTACATTTGATACTTAAGATGTGCATTATAATTGTTATTTGTTTTTACAATATACAGTGTAGTATTATCATTATGACTATTATTATATTATTGTTATTGTTTATTCCAGACAAATCCCACATATAACAGCAACATATATCCCCGAATTATTACATACACGGTATCAGTCGATGGAACAGCCGTAAACGTAAAGAGATTTGGGGTCTATAACCTTAGAACAGATGGTCAGGAACTTGTATATCATATAAACAGTAAGCTTTTTGTTCTATAACAAAACCTTTAGATAGCAGAGACATTAATATAGAGACCATTGATTCCGATTATTTCGCTTCAGATTTTGCTTTACATATGCATCTCTATCTGATTTGCGAATCATTTTAAAAGAAAAAGATACCCACACAATATTTCTATTAGCTATTTGCACGCTGTATGTATGAAAATTTCTACATACTATTTTATTCCACGTTGATGAAAACAGGCCGTGTACTTACTTATTAAAATAAAGTCCCAAACTACTGCCGTCCCGAGCCCAGAAGAGAGATGGCCCTGTGGTCAAGGAGCCTGGTCCTCAACTCAATTTTTCCTGATTTCAATCGTAACCAGGGTAACGGCAATATTATTTTCTTCATATGAGACGACACCTCTGCAGGTTAGTCCTAAGATGCGGACTCACGTTTGATTCGGATAAGCTACAGTTTTCGGTAACGAGATACTGAAAAATGTGTTTCAAGCATCTGTCGATTACTCGCCATCATACTGCTTTTATTAACAATGTAATACCATCGTTCTAACAATATTACAGACGTAACTGACGGTGATGTTCTAATGATGGCGTCACAACGAAAGGTACTACAAAAAGCCAACCCAGATCTTACCGCTTACGACGCACTTGAAACTTTGGTGACCGGTGGTGTCACAAATAGCGGCATCTTTCGATCCGTAAATTCAGAAGGAGAAACATGGGCATTCGTATATAAGAAAGGTAATATATTAATGTTATTCTAATACGATAAGGCGCTTTGGCTCTGCGGTGACAAATCCAAGGATCGCGAGGCATATAGTTACGCCATTTCTCAAACCCATTTTTGAAAAATACAATGGAAAACAAATATGCTCTTACCAATCGGAAATTAACACTGCAGAGAGAATATACAAATCGCATGCTGAAAAAAAGAAGGAATAAAGCGTCGCTGCCTTGATTTTCATTACATCGTTTTATGATTATCGTTAAATAAAACATAAATGCTGGCTCGCACTATTTCATAATTTTCAATTATTTCATTTTTCTTATTTCCTTTTACGTCATTTCCTGTTTGAAAAAAAAAACACGTGATAATTTCCTTTTATTTTGAATGAAGGTACACCAAGCAGCCATGACGAAGAGAAAAATCCTCTAGGTACTACATCCACCGCACAGTACAAAGAGAGTGACGATCTAATATACACCGTGGAGTCTATCGGCGATCTAAACGTGAATAAACAATCTGTCAACTTCCGGATTACCAACTTGAACGCTCTTAACCCATTGGTCAGTTTTCTTGATGATGTCACAACATGGCATCCAGGTATCAGACAATTTCTTTCTCTCCCCCCCCCCCCAAAAAAAAAAATAATAATAATAAAAAAGTTGGACTTTCTAAACTTGTCATTCATTGAAATTACGTTACTGATATGTTATTATAATGATCATTTAGAAAGCTCAAAATAATAGAAATTATGTAAATCCTGTATATTTTTATTTGGACAAGAGCAATGGTGCAATATTGTCAACTATTCATTTGCTGAAATGAAGTATTAATTCCATAGCGAACCGAGATTAAATAAAGAATGGTCGCCGAAATGTTATATTGCACGACTGTGCATATGGAATTGTAAATAAACTTTAAGTTTTGTTATCAACGAATGTGTCAACCATTTGTTTTGCAGGTGACGAAATAGTGATCTCCTCAACGGATTTTTCATCGTCACAAGCAGAGAAACGGAAGATTGTCTTCTGCCCAACTTGCAACAACTTTCAGCGCAGAATCGACAGTAAGCAATGGCAACAGAATCCGTCTGCCACCTTACAGCTTATTAAAATTACCTATAACCTTAAAATAAAACTTGTCTCTTTAAAGAATGATTTTAAATAGATAATTTATATTTTTGCTGATAATATCATAAAAGTTTAGGTTATTACGTATTGTCTTATCAATGAATGGTACTTTAGTGAGGTAAGGACCATTCATATGTTAGACAATATTGCAGAAAAAAAACATAGAGAAAATTACTCGGACGACGATTTTTATAATAAATCATTGAAAAATAACTTATATGTCATTGCAACAGAGCCTGTAGAGTACATGCATTATGGGAAAGTGTTACATGACGCGGTTGACATGCGAGCGGAAGTTATGCTGTTGACGCGAAGAGTTGTGATAAGAGGCGAAATGGAATCAACTTGTCATCCTTCAAACGAAAATTGCGGTAAAGCAGAAGTTCTTGGACAAGACACGTTCGGAGCGCACGTAAAGGTATTTTTTAGAATTTTGAATGCATTTTTATAGAGCTTTGACATTTTTATCAGGTCTCGCTATAGATACAGTTAAGCATATGTGATTAATTTTGAGATATCAATATTATTTATAACAGTTATTAAATAACTGAAAATCATAAGAATTTTAAAGAAAGACCAGCTATGTAAATCCCAAAGTGTTTTGTCGAGAACACAGGCCAGATGTTTTAAAGACTGTTATAGAAGAAACTGCAATCTACAAGGATCAAACATGCAACTCGTGGTTTGACTAGGACATTATAACAACCCTTTGTCTAAATAATTTATTCATACCATTTACAAATTCTATTACAGGTATTGTACGGGTACAGAGCCGTCCACATAGAAAACGTAGAAATTTACAATGCCGGACAGCAAACGGACTTAGGGCGATATCCATTTCATTTCCACATGTGTTTTGGTGCCAACCAGAACCAACCCTATATCAAAGGCTGCAGTATACATGATACGTTTGCTAGATGTGTGACAATACATGGATCCAATGACGTCTTGGTAACATCTTAAAAGCATTTCTAAAACAATACAGGATTTATTCATTCTTGAATAATTATTTATCTAATAAAGGTTTAATATTTTCTTAAAACAGTTCTGTTCTTTCAAATTGAACATAAAATATATATTTTGTTCCTAAATAAGAAAAGAAATAGACCTAAATAACGTTTTTGGGAAGATTATTTACTTTCAGTCTTAATCAGGTCTTAAACCAGTACAATTGATGATTTGAGCAATAATATATACATATGAGGTTGAAACATATCAAATAATAAAAACACATGTTTTTCATGTAATGTTATATAATATTATATCACATTGCGCACGACGACCACATGAAAATCGTAGCTGGTAGTTCCATTGGATGTGATGTCACGCGTTCTGTCACGTGATTTCCTTACAGGTTTCCGACAATGCCTGCTACAATCATATGGGACATGGCTATTACTTAGAAGATGGTGCCGAGTTTGACAACGTCTTTGATGGAAATTTAGCAATAAATGCTCGAAAGGGAACCGGAAAACTTGAACCGAGCGATGCAGAGTGAGTGTAAACTGTCTATACCCTGTTCCATAACTATACCTGTTCCATATCTACCTCTGAAAAAATGACTTCCTTTCAATTTCTTTTCCATTTTTATGCCCCCGCCATGTAATGGCCGGGGCATATAGTGTTACCCTGTTCCGTCCTTCCGTCCTTCCGTCCTTCCGTCATTCCGTCATTCCGTCCTTCCGTCATTCCGTCATTCTGTCATTCCGTCATCATCAGTTTCCGTTCATTATCTTAGTAACGGTTGCACATATTCAACTCAAATTTGACATATGGATATCTCATGAGAAAATACAGGTCAAGTTCGAATTTGGTCATGGTTCGATGATTTTTGGCAGAGTTATGCCCCTTTTACTTTGAAAATAATATGAAATTTTCAGTTTCCGTTCATTATCTCCCGAACGGTACAACACATTCAACTCAAATTTGACATATGGATATGTCATGAGAAAATACAGGTCAAGTTCGAATTTGGTCATGGTTCAACGATTTTTGGCAGAGTTATGTCCCTTTTACTTTGAAAATAATATGAAATTTTCAGTTTCCGTTCATTTTCTCCCCAACCATACAACACATTCAACTCAAATTTGACATATGGATATGTCATGAGAAAATACAGGTCAAGATTGAATTTGGTCATGGTTCGATGATTTTTGGCAGAGTTATGCCCCTTTTACTTTGAAAATAATATGAAATTTTCAGTTTCCGTTCATTATCTTAGTAACGGTTGCACATATTCAACTCAAATTTGACATATGGATATGTCATGAGAAAATACAGGTCAAGATCGAATTTGGTCATGATTCGATGATTTTTGGCAGAGTTATGCCCCTTTTACTTTGAAAATAATATGAAATTTTCAGTTTCCGTTCATTATCTCCCCAACGGTACAACACATTCAACTCAAATTTGACATATGGATATGTCATGAGAAAATACAGGTCAAGTTTGAATTTGGTCATGGTTCGATGATTTTTGGCAGAGTTATGCTCCTTTTACTTTGAAAATAATATGAAATTTTCAGTTTCTGTTTATTATCTCCCCAACAGTACAACACATTCAACTCAAATTTGACATATGGATATTTTTTTGGAATGCCAAGGTCAAGTTCGAATTTGGTCATGGTTCAATAATTTTTGGCAGAGTAATGCCCTTTTCACTTTGAAAAAAATATGAAATTTACAGTTTCTGTTCATTATCTACCCAACAGTGTTACATATTCAACTCAAATTTGACATATGGATATGTCAAAGGAATGGGCAGGTCAAGTTGGAATTTGGTCATGGTTCGATGATTTTTAGGCAGAGTTATGTCCCTTTCACTTTGAAAATAATATAGATACATCTTAGGAATAAGCAGTTTAAGTTTGAATTTGGTCGTGGTTCAATGATTTTGGACAAACTTATCTTTCTTGAATATTGGAAAAAATTTTGAACTTTCAGTTTCAGCACTCATACTTTTGTGGAAATGTATGTAGCCATTATTTTGGCTACAAATATGAAATATGCTATTTTCAAAAGGTTAAGACTGAATAATTTCAGTGCTTTGAATATTGTATGAAAATGGTTTGTGTTAACATTGAAAAGTTTTAAGGGCTTTGAACTTAAAATGAAAACAATAATTTGTGCAAACAAATTTGGAACTAAATATAATAACATCTGAAATTTTGGCTGCATGCGGGGGCATCCGTGGCATGATGACACATTTCTAGTTCTTTTTTAAGTGTTCCTGTTTTACTTGTCCCTTTGGTTCCTAATGTATTGACAATTTCTGTTGTTTCTTTTTCTTCATCATTCCGCCAAGTTCTTTGTCCATTTAAACCACTCAATTTCCTTTGTTCCCATTGAATATAGCTGCTCCATCCGTATTCCAATTTGCCGACAAATTTTATTTATGGAATAGATCTATCTACATAACTCAATTTATTTAGAAACGGAAGAACATTTTCACGCATCATTATTTTGCGAAAGGCAAAAAGTGATACTGAAAGAACAAATTTTATCAGTATAAAATCTGATCGGTTCAAAACTGTTCTTATAGCGGCAGATTAATTTATGCGTGTCCCTAACAAACATCGTAATTACTTAAACCTGCATAATTTACTTATATGATTAATGGTAGAAAAAAGCGATGTTCTGGCCATTATTCCATAACTTTATGTCACAATGAAGCATATTATTTTCTCTCTGTGTTTGTTTAATAAAATTGGTGTTTGTCTTTTTCGTAGCCGTCCATCTGGATTTTGGATTACAAATCCTAGAAACACTGTAATAAACAACCATGCAGCCGGTGGAGAAGGGACCGGTATCTGGGTGATATTCCCGAAAGAACCGTTGCCTCCATCTCGACAGTTCAACTTGATGGAAGAGTTCGAAGTGAGAAGAACTCCATTAAAAGAGTTCACAAATAATGTAGCACATTCGAACGACTTTGTAAGTTGAATAAGAACGGTTTTCATAGAGATTAAATGATATTGCTGTGTTATAAAATGTGTTTGAATAAATGGCCAGGTTTTTTGATAATATAAACATTTATTTTTTGCTTGAAGCACAGGTAATGTTTAAAGATGTCATTTACATAGCACAAAATTAGATATTTAAGTATGGTTGGAGATTAGGGAGAGGATGGTATATTAATATATGATATCCATTTAACATGGATCTTACTTTAACTAAAAACCAATGAAGAAATATTTCTAAATATGCTCTTTTACTAAAATAAGAACTGTTTGATAATCAATAGTTTTAAAAAAAATTTGTATAAATCACACGTTTACTTTCTTGCGCAAAAAGGTCCTGATCTACACCCTTCACATGAATAATATAAAAGAACAGTAAAATTTGTCAATAGCGATCAAAAGCTATACAAAGTTTTTTGTTGAATGTTTATTTCTTCTCAATGGTCAAATGGTAGTAGAGGAATCTTAGAGAGCGACTTCTTACAGTTAAAGAACATTATGATTGTCTTTATAGGTGGTCTGTTATTGGAAATTAACAGTACCTATTTTATCGTCATATTTCAGTTTGGAATCCATATAGGTGCGAGGATAGAGGATAATCGGGATACTCATTGTTGTAATATATGGCAGCCCCTTGCCGATCCTAAAAATGCATCCTCGGCTCCAATCGATGTAATATTTCAAAATATAACAGGTGAGGGTATAAATATTAGCTTTTGACTGAAAGGTGTTTGGGTATCAGACATAATGAAAACAATGTGTATATAGTTAAAGAATACAATAGCTATGTGGATAGCGTTTTTTAATTGCATGACCAGTATTGAGAAAATATTTACTAAAGGCCGATTATGAATTTGTAACCAAGGATATTTTTTCACAAATTCTTTAGAGGAAGCATCAAAGATAATTTGAATATGTAAATAAATCAAAGTCAACTATTTACTGGCATCCTTATCTGCTGCACATGGATGATCACTTACATTGTTATAAACAATATCATGATTAAATTCAGGTTTCAAGAACGAAAAGTTCAACATATGGATAGAGGGAAGTTTACTTCAGGTTTCAAGAATATCGTAAGTATCATCAATTACACACATATAAATTTAATATCTTACAATTATCACGTATGACGACAGTGAGAAGCATACTGCCAAAAGAGATTTAGAGATAATGATGATGATGATGACGACGATAATGATGATGGATTGATGTTTTTGATATGTTAAGATCATTACAGTGATAATGATGATGATGATGATGGTGATGATTATGGTGAATAAAATGGAGATGACAATAAATATGATAATGATGATAATCATGATGATACAGGAACACAATGATGACGACGACAATGATGATGATGATTTGGATGGCTATAATGATGGTGATGATTATTGATGATGATCGGCTTTGGTGTTGGTGATGATGATATATCGGATGTCTATAAAAGAAAAATGATTATTTGTATTGCTTTAAATTTAAATGTATTTTATTAATTATATGATGATCTAGAGACATATGGCTTTTATATACTAATTCTTTTATTCTGGTTTTTGTTACTTTCAGGGTTGCTGACAGCACAAACGGCATCATGGTTTCTAAGTAAGAAAAAATAATATCTTGCATTACTTTAACTACAACGGATTTTTTAAAAAGATATGTTAGCTATCTATATTTCCATAATAGTGATCAGTCATAAAACTTGTACATTTCTTAAGCCGTGCCCTGCTGAAGTACCTAAATGGACTTGTCCGTCTTTCATTTTGGATATGTTCATTATCAATTTTAGAGTATCAAAATGTTGGTCAGCCATCATTATAGGGCCTGATCTATACTGGTAGCTAATATCTTTTGATTCCTGTAGATGTTTAAGTCAGAAATTACATAGGCATTAAAGAGAAGATACACTAGCAAATTCTAATTCATTTTACAGTGAAAAACTACTCGAGCATGCTGGGACTCTGAGCTATTCTGTTATCATTGGCGACAGCGACAATATCGGCGAACCTTCGTCTGGGTCTACCAGAAGCTTGGTTCAAACGTATGTACATGTTATTATAAATGTGTGACCAATACACATGTATAACAAAATTCAAACGTTTAATAAACAAATACACTTGTAAAAATATACAAGTACCAACTTATTATCAAAAATGTGCTACACTGTCTTGAAATTTACAATCAAAATGGTTGCAAGTTTTGTTAAGATTTCAAGGCTTTTCAAGATTTTGTTCAAAAGTCATGGTTCATTTGAAGCATGCGACATGTGAAGCAAACAGTTGAACAAATTAAAAGAAAAAATCTAATTTCGGTCATTGTTCAGTAAATGTAGGTCATTATATAGCAAAATTATGTCGTAGGCCGAAATGGAGTTAATGTAGGTTATAATGGTGTCTTCATTTCAGGAATGCCCCTCATTCTGGTATTGCAATGTGGAGGGGTGTGAACAACTATCACCATATCTGGTTTGACGGTTTTAAGCCAAATAACCTTTACGACAATGCCGCTATAATGAAAAAGAGAGGCGAACGGTATTTTTTCTCAGTAACAAACGCATTTAGAGATGTATTGTTTGCACATGATGACGCGGTAAGAATTTGCATGCACTTTATCACTTTATGATAGCTGTAGAATAGACACTTTTTATTTAAGGTTGGGAGAAAACAAAAACAAATGTTTGATAAAAATGACAACGACGATATGAAAACACGTACTCTTGAAACCAATTTTACAAGCCGTCAGTGACCACACTTCCTTGTCATTGGGGTTGTTTCCCTTTTTTGTGCGTTGGCACTTTACTACTAGCGGGAATTCGGCAACTCTCCATGCGAGAGTAGTAGAAAGTTTACAATTTAACAGAATTTGAGGGTGGGACTTTTATTCGAAGATTGGATTTAAAAAAACAAAAACAAAGACACCAACGCTCTTCGTAAAGGGCTGCAACAGAGTAAATTGAATGTTCCATAATGTATCACACTTAATCATGTAACGTCTATATTTTTACAGGATAGTGTTGGAAATTATTTCATGTCTGGTAACAAAACTAACCCGGGCTGGGAAAACAACAGAGATGGGGAACTTATGATGGGATTAACATGGAACAAGAATTCCACAGATAAGTGGTTCATCGTGAAGCCGGATCCTTTCTCTGCAGCAGCCCCTGATTGCAAACTTAGACCAAATTGGAGGTTGGCTATGTCCAAAACAAAATATGGAAATGTAAGTTTACTCAGCTATTGCAATATATCACTTTAAATGCCGTTTTTTTGTATTTTGCAAAGATAGCACACAGAGCTTATCTATAACGGTTATATTCTTAAACAAGTATAGTGTAATGTTTTTGAATATAGAGTGGAACACATGTATATTAACTTTTATGGTTGATATGGCATTAAACATCTTGCTGAATTTGTAAAATGGATTCATCCTTGAATTTGAAACGGTTGATGCGAAGCTTAAGGGATTTTATTATCGAAATACAAACATTCAGCTTCCAACAGTATAGAACCTAGTCTAAAAAGTTATAAAACTTTTCTCTGAGATCTATTTCGGATCTCAGGATTTTTAATAGTTAGTGCATATTCTTTGCTTGTTTCTGACCAATCAAATACCTGAGATCTGAATTTGAGATATGGTATTTTTGCTATAACCTCTAACCGGGGGTCATACTGTATGGTTGTTGATCTATACTGGAGGCATGGGCTAATCACCAACGCTTCCAACAGGATAAGTGTTAATGTCTGGAATAAATTAATTGTGAACTTCATTCAAGTTTTTAAAATTTAATTCTAGCAACGACATAACTTATTTTTTGGGATTGAAAACAACGATGAATGTTTATTGATGCAAAATAAAAATAAAAGAAACAGACGCGGGGTATTAATCACTTCCTGTAGAGACATATTTCATGAAATTTGATCTCTGAAATTTTGATATCGAAACTATTTTACTTTGAATAATATCATGAAGTTTATTTCTCTTTTTCAATATTTATAGTTACCTTGATAAATTATGTCATTTACATTGTTTCCCTTTGGCATCTAATATCTACAAAACTTATTAGATTTCTATCTAAATCGTACCGGAGATAGGCAAACATTTTCTTCCTATTTAGTTTTTGCTTTGGGGCTTGTCTAGCTTTACAATCGAAAAAAATTCATGGCCTTAAACTTGGCAGATATCATAAGATGCTTTGTATTGCTTTGGTGGATAGCGAAAAGAAGGCAGTAATCTGCTATATAACACTGAAAGCAGACCAGAATGGCACGATCTACGGTGTCCTTATCGTGCCATTTAGAATGTCGTCCGTCGCGTCTAAGGGTAGACACACGACAATGCGAAGTGACATCGCGACAATGCGAAGCGACGCTCGACAACGCGAAGCGATATGCGACAATGCGAAGCGACGCTCGACAGTGTCAAACGATATGTCGCACTGTCGCCTAGAAATGTCGCGGTAAAAAAGGGCGACATTTAAGAAATGTCGCTTCGCGTTGTCGAGTGTCGCTTCGCATTGTCGAGCATCGCTTCGCGTTGTCGCGATGTCACTTCGCGTTTGTCGCGATGTCACTTCGCGTTGTCGCATTGTCACTTCGCATTGTCGAGTGTCGAGGTTGGTAGAAGTGCATACCACGACACTCGACAATGCGAAACGACAACGCGACAATGCGATACGACGCTCGACAATGCGAAGTGACACTCGACATCGCGAAGCGACATTTTTAAAATGTCGAGTAAATGTCGCGTTATTTTTATGATTTTTACACCGCGACGCTCAACATTGCGAAGCGACACTCGACAATGCGAAGCGACACTCGACAACGCGAAGCGATACTCGACAACGCGAAGCGACACTCGACAATGCGAAGCGACATTTGGAATAATATCGTATCGCATTGTCGTGCGTCTACCGGTGCTTGGTCAGAATTTACTAACGATCATGGAAGGGGTCGCACTAAACTGCTGACGAATTAGCTGACGATATAGATATATAGGAAACTGCTGACCAGTTAAATAAAGAAGGATTATCGGAAAATGCTGACCAGTTACACAAAGAAGGGAAACATTGAAGGTGTGAAGTTATATATAAAACACGCCGTAGGGGGTAATAAAAAGATGGGAAATTACTTTTATTCTTTTAATTATATTTTTAATTTTTGCATTTATATGACTATGTTTATAAACTAAATTAATATATACATTTAAAGTACCATAATATCATACATTTTAACACGGATTTACATTACTACATGTAATATAAATCCGTGATTTTAAAAAGGATATATTAAACAGCTTTTTATACCTCTAAAGATATGCAAAAATTTGAATTAATGTTTTATAAAGAATTATGATGTTATGAGTTTTTATCAAAATTCTCTTGTTAGTGATATTTCAATAGAAAAAATCTTGTAACGGAAAAAAAATGTATTTTCAAAAGCAATAATTGCAATTTGAATTAATATTAAATAAGTCAGCAGTGTTTTAACTTAATTAAATGTCGACAAAATTTTATACAATATATTGAATTTCGTACATTATAAAATGAATTAAAAATTCACGACAAAATATATTTTTTTTCTATATTTCTAACTGGTCAGCAGTTTCCCTATATATCTAACTGGTCAGCAGATTCTACTACATGTGTATATGTTTAACTGGTCAGCATTTTCTCGCCTGAATGTAAAGAGCGTTAAATTTGCTAACCATATAGAATAAGAAGAGTTTTACGGCTTAAATCAATTTGAATAACATTAAATTGGTCAGCAGTGTTTTTACTTAATTAAATGTCGACATAATTTTATAAAATAAATTGAATTTGCATACATAATAAAAATGAATTACAATTTCACGGCAAAATATATTTTTCTCTATATATCTAACTGGTCAGCAGTTTCCCTATATATCTAACTGGTCAGCAGATTCTACTATATATGTTTAACTGGTCAGCATTTTCTCGCCTGAATGTAAAGAGCGTTAAATTTGCTGACCATTATAGAATAAGAGAGTTTTACGGCTTAAATCAATTGAATTAACATTAAATTGGTCAGCAGTGTTTTTTACTTAATTAAATGTCGACAAAATTTTATACAATATATTGAATTTCGTACATTATAAAATGAATTAAAATTTCACGACAAAATATATTTTTCTCTATATATCTAACTGGTCAGCAGTTTCCCTATATATCTAACTGGTCAGCAGATTCTAACTGTATGTTTAACTGGTCAGCATTTTCTCGCCTGAATGTAAAGAGCGTTAAATTTGCTGACCATATAGAATAAGAAGAGTTTTACGGCTTAAATCAATTTGAATTAACATTAAATTGGTCAGCAGTGTTTTTACTTAATAAATTGTCGACATAATTTTATATAATATATAAAATTTGCATACATTATAAAATGAGTAACAATTTCACGGCAAAATATATTTTTCTCTATATATCTAACTGGTCAGCAGTTTCCCTATATATCTAACTACAACTACAACTACAACTACAAATATTTTATTGCATTAAAACAACATGTTCCATAGCAATACAATTTTTTATACAAAGACATGGTTTACAGAAGAGCACAATAATATAATATATATATGTATCTGCATTAAAGATGACTAGTTATTTCGCAAGTTTGCATAGTATATATATTTTGCTAAATTATTAATTATTGCTTTTGATTTTGCACATATGAGATTAACAAATTTCTGTTTAGTAGGCCACGTATAATAATATCTCTTTATATATTTTGATCTTAAGTCATGGAATTTTAGAACATATTAATACAAAATGATACTCATTTTCTATAAGACCGGCATTACAATTACTACACAATCTTTCATTTCTTGGTATATTTCTATGCCGTCCACGTTCAATAGCCAAACTATGAGAAGATGAACGAAATTTGGGATAAAGCTACCCTAAATTTCGGTTCAACGATAAAATCCAAATAGTTTTCAAATTCGAATGAATGTTTAAATAAACAATATGTATCTAATCTAGACGAGTTATTAATTGAGGAATACCAACTTTGATAGAAATATGTCTAAAATTCGTTGTTTAATAATACTAAAATCTATATATATAGTAAACTGATTTTTCCCACATATAAAACAAGCCAGTCTGCTCTAAAATAGTCTTAACAGTATATGCCGCAGTTTTTACCACTATAAGTTACACCATTGTCGGCATCTGTTTTTAACATAATAAAAATTTTATACAATATAGTTCTTTCATTAAGTTTAAGAAGTTTTAACCAGTATTTGATCAATATTAGTTTTCTATGAATGGACATTGGTGTACGACCAAGTTCACCATATAACACATCTACATTGGTTGATTGTTTCACACATAAACAATCTTCTACAAAACTTTGTATGTATAATTTCTATGTTCGGACCAGCATGATGCCCCCACACTTCTGCAGCATAATTTAATGTTGGTAAAAACAATACTATCAAATAAACTTATCATTTGGGAAACTGGAAGTTCCAACTGGTTACATACAATAAATAGATTGTGTAGTTAATATGACGCATGTTGCGCAATATATTTTTGAGTTCTGTTCCAGTTCCCATTTTTAAAAAGATACACACCTAAATATTTAAAAGATTCTACAATTTTCAAATTCTAGTGTTATACAAAAAGAAATCATAAGATCTATGTCTACCATTTTCAAAAATCATTACTTTTGTTTTTAGATACATTTAATTTCAGATTCCACATATTGCAATAATGTTCTATATCATTCAAGATAGATTGTAATGAATTTGGATCATGTGTGAAAACTACAGCGTCGTCTGCAAATAACAACAAAAATACCTGTATATCATCAATGTTAACAATACCAGGAATGTTCCTATTTATATATTTAATATATCATTGAGAAAAAATAAACACAATATGCTACTTGCTGGATCTCCTTGTTTTACTCCAATCTTAGAATTAATTAGATCAGAATGCATGTTTTTATATTTAACAAAAGATTTAACAATACCATACATTGACTTGATTGCAGTAACAAATTTTGTACTTATATTTTCATTCAGTAACTTTCTCCATAATAAAACCCTATCAATACGGTCAAACATTTTCTCCCAATCTAGAAATGCTACATAGAGTTTCTTCTTACTCGACAAAGTCTTTGTTATTATAGCATGTAGGACAAAAATACAGTCAATAGTTGACTTATTCCTTTGAAAACCATATTGATTATCAATAAATT